CGTTTCTGTCGGTGAACTTAACTTCAGTCAGTATTTCTTGAACGAGCGTTAAAGGGTAGCCTCGTTCAAGGTCTCGTTTGCTTTGTTCAACGTTTTCTCTAACTGAGTTAGTTCTTAAAAGACGTCAAACCCTTTTTGCGATGAATCCCAATGATATTTCCGTGGTTACCGTCCGCGATTTTACATGATTTGCAATTCCCCCACCTTCTTCCCTTCGAACTTAAAATAATGTCGCGAATTTTCTCCTCCCCACGGGCAGAGAATCCAATCTATCCCGCTGTATTCCCCGACACATTCCCCTGGTTGTCCCGCGGGTCTACCCCCCGGGGCAAGCCGATGACATGTGCATAATTATCAACACATCTCTCCTGTTTATAGATCGATATAGACCTTTAGAAATCTCGACGGAATGCGTTAAATTTGTCGCACTAAGAACAGGCTCTCACTGGGACGGAGTACTATACATTCTTGAGGATCTGTTTGTAAGTTCTGACCGCCGCTGCGAGCAAGCTTTTTCTCTCAGGACTGCGCAGAGGGAGAGGGATAGGGGACTATAACCTCCCCCTAACATTTTAATTTTTTAATGGTTGTCTATTTTTTTACTCCCAATAAGGCTACAGGTTTGCTGTACAAACGGTTATGCGGTGATTTTCCAGCCATAAATGAAAATGAAATTCCAGTCTGCTTTCTACCACAAAAACATTTTTTTTAAAGCTGGAACTAGTTTTAACGTAATTCAAAAAGCATGAATTTTTGGATTTCCGGATAGCGGTTGTAAAAATGCTCATGACTAGAACGGATACTGATTCAAAACTAGTCAGCAACCGGCTGCTGGTCTGAAATGTCATCCGTCTCTTCGCCCTACGCCCCACCCCGTTGTGGAACATTCAGTCACCTACTTCAAAGATAAAGCAGCCCGTTTCAACACGATCCTGCGATGTGCTTTCTTTTGTTTCAAAGGACCTATGCTTTAAAATGTCCCGGGACATCTTTTCCCGTATCCCGCTAGTAGGCTAACGCTGTCGATTTTGTTCCCCCTTCCCCACTCCCCCCGCCCTTTATTCTTAAACTCGCGGCTTCCCAGTCCAGTCCTCTGAGTTGTACCGGCAGCAGTGGGGGATGCAGGGGAGAGGCCGGGGGCCCTGCCCCCCTTTTTGTTAGATCAAACTGAAGCCCGAAGGGCCGAAAAAAATTTTTTTGGAGTCTGTCCCCCTTTATCTCCGGGTCCGGCTGCCTCCCCCCCCCTCCCCCCTCTATATGAAGGTCTGGATCTGCTGGTGGGCTGCAACGAGAAAGGAACGTTGTACTTGCAAGGCAATTTGGATTACTGTATCCGACTTTGTCAAACCTGAATGGAAAACATACCCAAAGATCAGGCCTAATTCCAGCAGCTTCCAAACATTCTCTCTTTTCTCTTACGTGGTCGCCTTTCCCGCCGGAATTTTTTTTTAAAAAGCGAAACGAAAATAGAGACTGATCTCAGGTTATGGAAAATATAATATTTCCTAATGTACAGTGTACATGCCACGTGGTTCTAGCCGCAGTTCCAACATTTAGTCCGAGTTGAATGAAATTTGTCTTGTTTTAAGCGTAACATACAAAGCAGTACTTTCTGATATTCAAGTTTTGTGGAAGTTTTCTAAACATTAGTCAGTTTACTAAAAGTCAATGTATCGATGCGGGGTATGAAACTGAACAATGAAGGCGTTAAGAGACCCACCCACGCTATTCAACATAGACTGCGAGCAGTCCCTCTCTAAGCTCGGTAGGACTGGAGAGGGCGAAATGGTCGAGAGGGAAACTCCTTCCCAGCTTCAGCTTCTTGTTTTTTACTTTCGCTCGCTTCGCTCGATTTCCTCGCTCGCGTGACCATCCTGAGGGACTGCCCGCAGTCTACATTCAACTAACGTAAGATCAGGCTCTATTTTCGTTTCGCTTTTAAAATTACATTCCGGCGGGCAAGGCGAAACGAACAGGTTTCATTGAAATCGGTTAAAGGTAAAGATTTACCCACAGACTGAAAACATTACATTAATTTCATTAATTTCGATTAATTTCATTCGAAAGATCACATGCATTAAGGATTGTCCATATACTCGAAAGTCTAGAAACACCCCATATGTTGTTTATTACGTTAAAACACTAAGATGCTAAGATCCTGCTAACCCGAGTATTAATTGCTGGGCAGTGAGATGGTAGTGACCACGATAAGAGACCACGATGGTAGTGACCGCGTAACTGGAACGCGACCGCACTTAGCTAAAATATTCTGCTCAAGGAAAGCTTTCATGATTGATCGACCTTCCACTCTGAAAAAAAGCAACATTTAACAAAATTGAGTGGCTATTACAGGGGCCAGTAAAAGGTTGCTCTTTGAATTTCAACCACAATTTTAAAAAAATCAAGCGACAGGATTAATAAAGGTCCAAGATCCATCAGTTATCACAAGAGAAAATGAGGTTATCATGTTAGTCTGGAGCCTAGGGTAATAGACTCCTGTGTTAGTCTAGTCTGTGGATTTTTATATGTAACAATTCCAAACGTGAAGTACTTGTTACAAAACCACAGAAAAATGCGACGTCCAGACAAACTGCTTCAAAAGATCAACCCGAACAACACCGGCTGAAATCATGCACGTGCCTGCTTCTATGGTTTGGTGTGATCCCAGACCTTCGCGTGACTTTTAATGTCTCACGTGATAAACCAGCCATTGCCAATAAAAAGGACTGGAGTCTGTGCTATAATGTGGCAAAATTTGAGAAAAATTCAAATGTATTCCAATTGCTTTCGGGAGGGTACTTAACCTCTCCCGATTCACACAGAAGCCGTCAACCCATTACAGACATTGCAAAGGCACGTGTTGAAAGTAGTTAGATGAGATTCCTGGGACAGGACATATGTTGACCTCAGATATAATCTTGTTATTTGTTTTTATTATATTAGCCGCTTTACACTGAAAAGCGCGCGAAAATTGGCGTTATAAATATTTTTTACAGCTGGTAAAAATTTAAGCTGTATACTGAGTGCAGAATTCCTAATTGGTGTTTTTAAAGACAGATTTGAAAACTAAAGCTTCCGTTAAGACCTTTGAAAGGCACATACAGTAAGGTTTTCTTCAGGTGATTAAAAATAGTTTTCATTCAAAGGAAATATTAGAAACATATCCAGGAGAAAATACTGAAACCGTTGAAATTTTTCTCGATCTTTAAGGCGTTGAGATAAAAAAGCGAGATAGTATGCTAAGTGAATTATTTTAAATTCATCCGGCCCTAAACAGCTTCGAGATCTCTCTGTTTTATTTCAAGAATTTTCTTATCTTACTAGTTAAGCATACGCAAAGAAATCTTCTTAACAAGTGATTTGGAGATCATTGTCTTGGTTTGAAGTGAAGTTCATTCAGAAGGAGAACAATTAATATCGCCGCTTTTGTTGATTCAATTGACCATTGCTTGGGAGAGATATTCCAAGCAAACAACATCTGGAATTTCGGACTTGTTAAAACCTATTTTACAATATAAACAGGCAACATATCGTTACAACCCCTATAACCCCTTGTAACTTAAGTTGCAGTGCGAAATTCTAACCATTTATGTCACGAACACTTACTACCGAGTGCAACGTAGACAGATTGGTGCCTGAAAAACTTAATCGGAATTATAATTTTTTACTGCACGGAGAAAAAAATGTTGCCCCGTTAATTCCCAAAAGCTGTAAGTGATCAGTAGCTAGCACAATCATGATTGTCAGGGCTTTATACCGCCCAGATCCCTCTTGAGAATGCACGACTTTTAAAGACAAAGAAAAAATCTTTATGGCGATAAGGCAAAGTACTCAGTCTGTACTCGATTTGGATGTTCTGCGAAATTACAAGTCTAAAGAGTCTTAAAGCTCCTCTATGTGTTTTTTTTCTTGTCGTCTTGAGTCTGTGCCAAGGGTCAATCGAAATGGTCTTTGTTCTCAACCATTTGAAATATCACCTTAGGATTATAGAGTAAGAGCACTTTCGATTAGACAGACATCAAGGTTTTCAGCACGAAGATGCTGTTTCATTTAAATGTCTCATACTGCTATTGCACGTGCTCGCAAGTTAGAGGTTGACTTTTCACTCGCAAAGACAGAAAGAAGAAAAAAAACCAGTTTTTGTTCTACACGCTCACATTATAATGGACAGGGTTTCTCGTCTGAACTCAGTTTTTGCTATGGTTTTTATTCAGACGGTCAGTTCAGTCATCGTGTCTAACAAAGTGTAGTCATCTTGTTTCCGAAATACCCTTCACTTTGTAGCCGTGCATGTATGAGTGAAGCACGAGGAAAATAAACTTGTTGACATAGAAAGAAGATCTTTATAAAAACACACGCTCCTGATCTGTGGTTAAGGTATTACCGTCTTTCGATCATAGTGCGGCTATGCTTGAAACACCAGATCATCACGGGTTGATTTCATAAGTTCTTTAATAAATGTTTGTCGCGAGTGAAACAATAAAATCACTCCTCAACATTAAAATGAACAGGAATCTACGCGCAAGGGCATCATGAAAACAACTTTTTCCCCTTATCTGAATTCGCCCAATTTTGGAATTGTGTTCATCTATGACTAGATTTTTGAAGCATTCTTAACTCTTTAACAGACAGTTAACCTCTCTATTATCCGGAGTCAAGATTGTGGGCCTTTCGCAATGTTAGCAATGTAGTAGCCATGCCTGAAGAATCGTTGACATTCCGAAATGTGACCGACCGGCAACAGGGTCCTACAGAGCGCTAATTTTCTTTAGCTGTTTTTTGTCCAGCCGTTTATCTGCTAAAAAGACTTAACAATTTGCAGGTTTTGAACGCGCCAACAGCTAAGTTTCCAACGGAATCACCATAATCCCGCCAACAGCAAACTGAAAAGGTAAGGACATCGAACGTTGGCATTTTAACAGAAATAGACTCAGATTATTTCGAACTGATTTTTGGAGCTAGGGCATCAGAGACTATCGGGGTTGTATGTGGTGTCTGTGTTAAAACGTCCCATCTTTCGTGGCCTCTTTCATCACCTCCACACGTCGTTTCACCAGCTGACACACATTTTTCGCCAAGCGATCGCAAATCTCCCGCTTATATTCCATAACGTTCTCAAACTGTAGTTTGAGTGTCTCTTGAATGATGTCATGGATGACCAAGTTCTCTCTCTCGACAAGGCAAGTTACTGAAGAACATTTCCTAGAATTTGTGGGTGAACTATCTAGACTACTGAAACTGTTCAGCGAGCCGGTACTCACAGTATTTTCGCGCGACCAAAGTTCTATCGGTGCTGATAGAGTTGTAGGCGAGGGAGTCGTTCCGTAATTATAGGAGGGTTGCGATGCACGCCGCGTTTTCCCTTTATCTTCCTTTTCTTTGGAGTTGAAGTGAAACGAAAATAAAGAAAGCTTCCTCGATCTTCTAGCAGGTCTGGGAGATGGAGCTGGTTTTGCTTCTTTTTCAGGCACTTTGAATGGAGCACTGTTGCAGTTTTTCTCTGTCTCGTTGTTCCGTGGCACCTCTTCGTGACCAGAGGTGAAACGAAATGGGTTTGAATTTTGTCGCTCGCGCGGAATGCATGAGCCGTTTGTATCATCCATGTTTAGCATACACGGCGTTGAATCTGTAATGAAAAAATACGCATGATGTCAGCCTTTTCTACTCTTCTAGAGATAATTAACAGACGACAGCACATACAGATATGTTCAAAGTCTTGTGATTAGGTGCTGTATATATCATGACTTACCGCCGGCACTCTGAATGATAAGGTCTTAATTTACAGCGATTTATCGCTGCTGAAATCTTCTTAAGACGCTTCCGGCAACAAAGTACGGGTCAACGACCGACAATCCCTCAAATAAACACGCAACGGTCCTTGGGTAAGAGACTCACGGAGGCTGTTAATCAGTTACAAACGGGTAAAAGTTACAAACCTGAAAATATACAAATCCTGAAAACATGTTCTGCCTGCACGCCTTCACAAGTTACACAAGAGTGCGCTGTTACAGAACTGTGACGAAAAAGGTTTTCGTAACATTCTGGATTCCAGCTGTGAATTGAATTTCTTACTGAACAATCTCAATTGTTTTCTTAACTTACTTAAGACACAAAATATTTGGTCGAACTACCGGTATTTTCTTGAGATCTAATCGAGGTAATTCCAACACTACCCTCGTAGGGCTGTCTCGCAACCGAACGAAAATAGCCGCAATGCTACTTTGCGTACTTGATATTTATAGATCTAAGTGCATACTTCCTCACGGTTCGATTGAAGGCAAGAAATAACAGCTGAACACTACTGTCACGATTTCTTTTCACTCGAAATAAATACATGCAGTGATTCATGTTTGTATTCACATGATAATTTGTCAACACAAACGGTTTTAAACGCTTCGTTTATGTGGGCAAGGAACTAAATCCAGTGATAGTATGCGACAAAAAACGAATTGTTAATTAAAAACAAAGACTCACGTTAATCACTATTAATAAATAAGAAGGAGTTTTATTCAGTTGATATCTATACAAACCCAGCAAATCGACAATAATTGGAAGCCGCATTAAGGTGTGGCTAAGACAGGATGTGGTTGATAAGCTCTTCCAACTCACAGCTTGAGAGCCGAGAAAGTGAGAAAGCAAATTGAAAAATGATCAACATGATCGCCCACCTGAATGATATTGAACCATACACAGAATACACCCAATGTCATTTTATAAGCGAGGAAATACTGTGGAGAAACTACTTCTTACTGATTCCGCAAGGATTGATATGTGACATGTATCTGCTAGACTACGAGTAGTCCCCGATTTTTCCGCGTGTCGCCTTTTCTCGCGTGGGGTGATTTTCACGCGCGCTCGCGTTTCGCTCGCTCTACTATCCCTGAGGAAAAATGGGGGACTACTCGTAGTCTAGTATCTGCACGTAAACGAGTTATCACAGTACGTCACAATAAGATCAACCGGCTCAAGAAATGAAGTGAGGCAGGAGCCGATTGCCTGAGTACGGTTAGAAATTGACTGGACAGCTGACCCCAAAAGGTGCAAAGCACTACCGTCCGCTGGATAGACTAACACTTATCCCCTGGATGGTTATTTATCTTTGGTGGATAGCGCTATCTATCTAGCGTTTGAACAACCGGGGCATAGACTCTAAAACGCGCATGCCATTTACAGGCATATACCACTTAGTTGTCTTAGTTACCACTCTACTTTGCGGGTTACAGTGTTTCTCTGTGGCTACTATAAACAAGTTGACCGTCATTTCTTTTTTTTTGCCAAACCCTGAAATAATTAAAAAATGTTTAAGATGAACTGAAGCCACATTTTCACTGAAGCATTTTAGAATCTTGCCCGGAGGGGGTGGGGGTGGGGGGTTACACAGAAATAAGTAGGCTTGATTGAACAGAAAAGCGGCGGAGATTCCTTGCGGCAGTATCCTTGAATCAATGGTTGTTCCTCTAATGGCGGTGTTGTTGAAAATTATCAATAACTACATTCAAGATGTTTCAGAGGATCTAAGGATAAGCAGAGAGTGGATTTACTACCGAAACTTAAACCAACTTTTTTTACTGGTTGTATGTTTTTGGAAAAGGCCCTCTTATCAGGGGCACCCAACGACAATTTTCGGAAAAATATCTGTTGGGAAGACGATTTGAGATCTAGAATTTTCGGAACATTTGTTGTAAAATTTCTTGCTTGCCTGCTTCTCCTAGGATTTTCGAACATCTACAAAATGGTGAAATTGCCCATTTTCAACGGATTTTTACCCTAAAAAGGTCACCTAGAATTTTCGGGAGCCTTTTTTCTGGCTGAAATTTTCGAATAGGTAAGTTTTGATCCCTATAGTTTTCGGGTCACTAGACTTTCAGCTAGGAAATCCGAACAGATGAAAAATTTATAGGGGGTAAAAATATGCCCATATATCCACCATTTAAATACTAAAACACGTTTAACAATGCTATGTTTAAGTGGTTTTGAACTACATTCTCGTTGGGTGCCCCTGTCTTATGGAGACCATTGTTAGTCAGGTCTGCTTCCTCTAATCCCGCCTTGAAGAATGAATCAAAATCTTTCTCTCGTAGTTTAAGAACAATTCTTTGCATCGGTGAACATGCTTTAAAACTCGAGCGTAATTCACTAAAAACCATTGGAGACTTCTCGTGATACTGTCCCTTAACTATGTGGCTCTGGTCAGGAGTTGACGTTCTTGAAATTGATTTTAAATCTTTGCTTGCCACTTGCTTGGATTTGCAGTTGAATAAGACGTGAGACTTCAACGGTTACAGAAAGACATAAAAAATCTTGATGCCAGCATGAACATGAAAAGAAAGTTTTGAAACGTTACATGACTTTTGCGGAGTTGCACGAAAGATGGTTGCTCTGTATATTAAAAAATGCTCCTGGTGATTTTATAGCAAATACTGATTACAGGTAGCTAGAGTGAAGGACACCGTATTACATGTGAGCGGCGGACACTGTAGCCAAAGCTCTCAAATTAATTTCCCTTATTTACTGTAACTGAATCCTTTCTACATAAAGCGGACACCTCCATTATGAGCTGATGACGACACCTAAAAAAGTGAATGCATTAGATGGTAATTTCTATCGTTACAAACCTGCATGTTTTACTGTTTTATTTTAACATTGTCGAATATTCAGGGAGGAAAGAAACTGGGAACTACAGTGTTACGAAGCAGCCTTAACACTGTGGCTTAGCAGCTTGGATCCTTCGTTGGTTAGTTTATCATATATACAATTACAAGAAAATCAGCTACACCTGTTTTCGCATTTCTTTCAATCGGTTTGCTTGTACAGAGCTCAGTTGTTTTACTCAGTTGACCTCTTATAAAGTAGTTTGATTAACTGGCCCACTCAAGTAAAGAAATTAATGAAAACGTATATCGTCATACTCTCTTGGGGTATTCCAAATGTTTCCCCTGTTCTTGATCTTTTCAATGCCGTGTTTGAGTCCTCACATCACGTTCTCTAGCGAGCGGACACCTGAGCAATCTCCGAGGGTGTTCGCGAAATACAGGCCTATCACAAACAGCACTGATCAAAAGAATTTTAGGAAAAACTCAATAACGGCCTAGTACGTGATAAGGGGTGGAACAACAGCCAATGGAAGTAAATTAAATTACAACTCACACGACAGTCATTCACTATAACTGATATTAATTAAAGAATCAAACTGACATATTGATGAAAAAATCGAAACGGTGCGATTAATGTTTGTGGCCGAATAGTACAGTCGGTATTAATTTCCGCGCCAGAGAAAGATTGAATTAGTCTTATGATTAAAGAGCTCTGTCAATTGACTGTTTGAGAGATACAGTTCCTGTGATGTATTCGGTGAAGTTGATAAAATAATGGTCAGATTATTATCATTACTACCTTAGCAGTGTATATATAAACGCATATTTTTGTCAACTGCCGGCGTTTCTTTGTTATTCACGTCACTACGATGTCTGGCATGTTTTGAGTTATCGTGATATTCAGTAGTGCATCCAGCTAAGGACATTTTAAAAACGCTTTCTTCTTACCGACGACTACCATTAACTTATCGTCCGAATCAATTTAATATCATACAATTCTCCGCAAAAAGAAGGCGGAATTACATAAAATAAAACATGCCTTACATACACATCTGGAAAGGGGGGTAATGGGGGGGGGGAGTAAAGAGTGAACTTTCTGGGAGACAAGTTATTCCAAAGCCGGGAAATCCTACATTGGTGCTATGGCCGGAGAAAATTTGAAACAAACAAATGCTAACACCAAAATGGCGCACTTTTAAAAATGGACATTGCCGTGGTGATTTTCCTGGTTGCTGTACTGAAGAATCTCCTGCAATTATTTTACTTCTTATCCCAGAATTAACAGCGTTTATTTTACCACAGAAATGTGTGATCCTTTAAGGAGAGAATAAGAGACAGAGAGTTCACAGAAGACCGGCAGCGTGACCGAGCGGGTGAGAGCGCTGGACTTGTAATCCGGAGGCTCCGCGAGTTCAATCCCCGCCCCGGATTTGTTTTCGGTGAGTCCCGAATTTACCAGGAGTGGTTTGCCTCTGGCCAGTTGTGTTTCTCACTAAATTGTAGTGATTTGTTGTTAATTGCTTGTTTCTCGTCGTGCCTTTATTTGTTGGCAACACTGGGTTAACCAAACAACGCGCTTTTCGTCAAGAATCATCAATGTAGGAAACGCTGATACTTCGCGTTCAATTGGGTTGGGCTATATTTCAGTTCATATAACTTTGTGTTTGCAAAAAATTTCAGTACTTTTGGTGAACTTTTAATCATTAGGGTACTTCCTGATGGCTATCATCTCTTAATTGTAAAGAATGAATACATCGGCCTGTCTTTTTCAAGGTGTCTGTTCCATCATTACCACGAATGACACAACATTTCTAAATAGATTCCGTTGATGAAAAAGTGTCGTTTAGAGTTCTATATTGAGACTAAAAATAGATCGATGTACCTTTAAATAGAGCAATAATTAACCCTCAATGCTTTGTACTACCTACAAATTCAGTTGGCCTACAATGTTGTTAAACACTCTCACGGCATGAGCGTTTCAGTTGGCGAGTGAAGGGAAAACTCAGCACTTAACATGTCCCCTGGGTTAAATTCTGACCACCATTATCATTTGATGCATTTTACAGCTGAGGCTGTGCCGGTCAAGCTATGGAGTCAATACAGCGTTGTCGTCATAACCGACGCAAAACCAAATAAAGAATCACTTCTAAAACTCGCTGCAGCGAAATTGTCTTTTTCATTTTCCCACAGAGTTTGAACTGATGCGAACAATCCTTGCTCTCTCACTGAACCAATGTAGGCTTGACACACAACCTTACATTGCGGTACATTATCCACTGCTTTCATGGAAGACACAAGAGTTTTTAGGATTCTGCAGATGCTTTTACAAACGCGATCACACGTTTCTCGCTTGTATTCCTTTATTGAGAGCATGTGGGCGCGTAGAACGTGTTTAATAAGGTCATGAATTTTAACATCTTCCTCTTTAAACAAGGCCTGCTCTGGCAGGGGTTTGGTTTGAGATTCTTTTCGTATCAAGGATATGTCCTTGTTTTTCTTTTCTTCGTTTTCAATGGTTGTGTTGATTTGTTGGTTGGGAGGTAGTTGCGGGTCAGTGTTTCTTCTTTTCCTTTCCTTCTCAGATGGAGGTTTGTTGAACATTGTTAATGAAAGTTTCCTTGTCTTTTTGCTGTTTTCGGTTTTTTCTACAGTAGGGTCTTGTTTGTTGTTGCTTACGCCGGATTGATTCCCAGTAAAAATTCCGTGCAAAGATAACGGTGAAATTCTTCTTGTAATGCTCAGCTTTCGTCTCCTTTCTCCAGCTGGCGGTCTCGCTTCCTCAATTTCATCTGCATTTGTTCCGTTTCCACTAAAACTTGGCGCATTAAACGTAAACAGGTCTGAAATTTTCCTCGCGGATTTTTTCATTGCTGTCTTTATGCCATCTTCTTCCTCAGCTTCACTGGAAGAATGATAGCTACTGGTGCTTCCTTCGGAAGGTCTCGTCTTTGAACCGGCAGTAAACGAAGACGCTCTCGACGTCTTCCGGTGAACTATCGGAAGGTTCCCTGATTCACCTTCCTCAACTGTTTCCAGAGTCACGACCGAACTGCAGGTTGAAATTTCCGAGACAGCATCATCGTTATCTTCGTTAACAGTACTAGCAGATCTCATGTTTTCCATGAGCAAGTCTCGCAAAGAACTGTCCAGCTCAGGGGAGTCAACACTTGGAAGATTCCTTAAGTCCAGTTCCAATGGTTTCGCCTCAAACTTGGGGCCCGAATCAAAAGCTAACACAGGTGACGTCTGTACGACGCTAAACGGTTGTATATCGTTTGTTTCTATTCGTATGATCGGCGAAACCTTCTCGGGCGCGATCTTAACAACCATTTGCTTATAGACGTTCATCTTGGACGTAGTTATCGCGAAATATCAGGTTCTAATTACCCGAACTCTTCACCTAGATCAGATTCCTCCGTCTAAACGTCAAATCAACGGTAATCAATGTGGACGTGTTTGATGTACATGCTACAAGGTTAAATGAATTGAAGAGAATGCAAACTTATGCATTACCCGCTGGTCTTCGGCACCCCATATCACAGTGTGAGATCAAAACATTTTTCAGTAAAATTGTTCACGGGATCAGAGCGGCAGGAAAATAAGAGGAGAAAAATTCAGCATTAACAGACATTTCAAAAAGAGGGGTAGAATTTTGGATTGTTATATCACAGTGGTGGCTAGGTTTGTACTTTAAAAACGAAAATGTTGCCCACGTTTTTATGTGTTTAACAGTATTAATTGTCTTCCCTACTGTGATAAGAATTACCCCAAGGCGTTTCAATTTATTAGCGCCATAACTTCAACAGATAAAAGGTTGCGCGTAACATTGATCCATATATTCTTATCTACAAAATCCAACATCACCCCTCGTCCTTAATTTGCTTGTTTTGCAATTTTCAAGTCTTCAATTAAAACAGTCCTCGAAAATAAAGTGGACACGCGATATGTTACGAAGAGCAATCTAAATACCGTTAAGCTTGAACAAATATTGTTTTGTTTAAATATCGCCTGAAGCACATGTCGGAAATACAGAAAACATCATTGGGACGCTTATCGGCATTTTGCGACATCGATCTTAATCATTTTTGCTTTGCCTATACTCTTTGTGGATCTCAAACTGTCAAACTAAGACAAATCGCTTAATATCCTTTTGTTCAATGTTTACTTGCAATCACTCTGAATTATATTATAAAACGGCATGAAAAGATTTTTAAAACCTTTTCTGAAATTACTCAGCCATCACAAACTCTATCCCTATGGACGTCCGAGGTCTTTTCAACTTATTAATTGATGGATGGAAACATTGAAATGAAAGCTCTTGAGAAGTCCATCCACTAATGCAGGGTCGTTTTTCACTACTTCATAAAATCAAGTATTGGATAATTCTTCAATGTTGATGTTTGTCTGCTGTTGTGGTCGAAAGGGTTAATTTTGTATGGGACATTACCCGCTAGTAGACATGGAAGACCATTGTACTTCATACACGCTTGCAATACTAATCATTTTTCCAGAGATTAACCCGATTGAGGTATCTTTTTTCCGCATTTCTGATCTTCATGTCCAACCAAAAAGACGTTATAATTACCCCCATAAACACAATAACGTACTCTTGATTGCTTTCATGTTCACAAGATCAAATATAATTAGTTCCATTGACCCAAGAATCCTGTTGCAATGAACAGAAAAATGATTTGGTTATCATCTCGCATCAGATCAACTTTAATTTCTATTAACATGTAACTCGGCAAAAATCTTGCATTAATTATTTCAGTGCTTCCAAAATTAAGTATTTTAACACATTGAGAGTGGGGTGTCAAGGCCAAATAACAGGAAAGAAACAACGTACAAGGTCAAGGTGCCAAGTCACTGTTCACAGGCAAGAATGAAAGTGTAAACGTAATTAAGTTTCAGCGCAAGCATTTTCTTGAGTGGCCAAATGCTGAATATTTTGTATTTGCCAGATATTCTAGTTTTGCACAATGCAGACCTTACCTGGTGCACTTATTTGGCTGCAAGCAAAGACACACTAGCCTTGTGACATTCAAGCTTTGATAGTCTCAAGATAGGCTCATTTTACGTCATGAAAGTAGAAAAATTTGGAAAAACAGAACAACAGTTCTACGTGAGGATAGTTGGAGCCAGAAAAGGGGTGAACAGCCCGGGAGGGAAAAATTGGAAGAAACAATGGGGCTCTTTCTTATTCTGTGCCAGGAGATCATAATATTATGGCTCTTGTCTGCACCGTTTTGGACCTTTCCTTGTACCAAAATCTGCACTGGTAGGATCACTCTTTAAAGAAACTTTGTACTGTAGGGGGAGTTGCATTTAAAAAAGGGAAATTACAGGGGGTTGGTGCTTTGGACAAGGTTCTTTTGGTTTAGTTTTTCCACTTTCTTTTGCAACTTTGACAACCTAGTTTTCAAAAGATCATAAGTGATGGAGTGGTAAGTGGAATCGGAATGCTATTTTCACTAGATCATGATGCAGTATGCATCTCATTACAAAATATTATTCTCACTTTACAACCCCATTGCTAGTGAAAACCAGCCTTAAGACCGGACCTGGGAGACGGCAGAAATCGAGCCTAGCATTAACTTGGCAGTGAAATCTAAGTATACCTGATGTGACTCTGAGGAAGGAGACAGAGAGTCTTAACTTGTAACAATCTGTTTACTTTCTTGCTAGGCTTTCCCCTTTTTTCACATAAATATTATGCAAGGTTGTATTGGACTTCTCTTCATTTCTTTTGTTTATGCTTACACCACACATACCATTTCCCAGTGCATGGTTCAATAAATCTTGTCACCAGTGTATCTGCCAGATAGCAATTTACCCCATGGATAGCACGACCCAACTTTTGAACAACCGGGACCCGTAGGACATCAGTTACCCTAGTGTTATCAGCATGAAAATCCTTCATTGCCTTTTCCAAGAGAAAACAACAAAGCCAACTCATAGGTTTGTTTTATTTGCCATGAAGAACTTTGCGTACTCAGTTAATATCTCATTTGCTATAAGTAAGGAGTACAGTCTGCCAATTCTGCTTCATTGCCTTCTCCAAGAAAAACCACTGTCCATGGAACCCAATATCAATTTCTTTTTGAGGGCTAACACTTCAAACATAACACAACACATTTTAAATGCTTAGAAGGAACTGTGCTTTATATCGATCTCACTTGCTAATTGTGTCAGGAGGACAGTCTGCCAATTCAGCTTCATTTACATCAAAATCTTTCATAGCCTTCTCCAGGAAAAGCCAATGTCCGAGGAACCCCACATCAATCACCTTTTGAGGAAATGTCTTACACCTGGGCTGAGTATAGTAGCAGTGTTTTTCATAAAGATCGCAGCCTGGCCCAAATTCTGATACCCATACTAGCGAGAGGAGGCCCAAACTTTGAATTCTTAGTCTCTCCTGGTTACGAAATTTCAGCAAGTTTTGGACGTAACTGTTCGACGCTGGATTCCTTATTAGATGACTGATCTGTAACAGTTCATTTGAGGATTCCAACAGAGCGTCCTCATAGGAATTAACGCCTGGGTTGTGCTCATAAATGTAATACAGACCACCAAAAGTGGCCAGCGCCGTAAGAAATCGAAATGGTTTTTCTTTTGCCTGCAAGTAAAAGTCCTTGAACACGGCTTTGTAGTCGGTGAAAATATTAATGGCTGACCTTCCAAGCTTTCTTTGCTTCAAGTTTTCAAATTGAGGCAAAAACATGCTGTTTATCTGATTTACTTTTCCAAACGCGCTCCTAAAATTCCTCAGCCTGGCGGCCATTTTAGTTTTAGTGCCCAGAACGCATAATCTTAGAGGAGAGCTGACCAGTAGCAGGCTCGTTTATAATTTTCACGTGGTTGGTCCGATTGCACAACTCAACAAACTGTTATTTTTGTTTACGTTTACACTTTAGGAGACTTCTGCAATTTGAAAATGGTAAGTTTCAGTCGATGGAACGTTTCAGTATTTATTTGTTTATTCAAGTGGCCCAGTTTTTAGTATGTCTATAAACTGATCGTTTAGCTGTGCACTGAATCTTTTCAGTTTATAGTTTCTCAATCCTTTCCAGAACGAAGCTAGTTTACCACATATAGTTAAGTGAGTGTTATTTGTTTGTTTTCTATCGAAATCCAGTGGATAAAAGGAAACACGTACATGTTCCTTTTTAACAAACTCATCAAGTAAGTGTACACTACAGTATGATTGAAGCGAAATTCTTGTTTTTTTTTTCCAGCCCAAGGAAGGGAAATCAAAAGTTCATTGTAAAAAAGTGGTTCATCCTAATTCTAGAAAAGCTGTGAAGCTGGCACGACAGGCTCACAGGGATGAAAAACTACAAAGGTGAAAAACCCTGCATTTTGTATGAGAGAGAGGTGATATTGTGATATTAATGCATCAGTCAATTCCAGCTGCGCCCAACCCCACCCCACCCCCAGGCTGACCCCCGGGCATTAGCAATTTTTTGGCCTTGGATGGCAAATTCCCTGGGGGTGGGGACTCTTGAGCTGTTAAATCCCCCCGGGTGGGGACAAAAAAAGAGGGCAAATGCCCCGTCCTTCGTCAACACTGTAACATTTTTCATTGATTGCACAGTCGAATAATGCCGTTTTAGGCATTTTAATGTACGATTTTTTGTTTCAATCAACGTCTTCCTTTGTAATAGCGCTAGGATTCTAATGAAGACTTCACGCTGCGATGACATGCACCAGTGGGCTGGGCACAGCTGGAATTGACTGATGCATAATGACCAAATAATACCACTAGATTTAGGTAAAGAGATTCTATTCTATAGAAAAGAAAATTGATAAATTAAGGGTAAAATTCGGACAAACAACATGGCCTTGAGACAGCGACATGAGACAGATGAAATGGTGACAAGTAAGACAAAGAGGGTTATAACTGAGCCAATGACAGAAGTGAATGCATAGTAAAATACTGACAAAGACATTGCTTCCTCCTCAATACAGAATGAAAAGTTTTTTGAAATGTGTAGTTCCAGAAAATATCCAAAACAAACGTGCCTCCACAGAAGACAACTGGAAATTCCAATGGGGTAAGTGGGTTCTCAGTAAGGCAGGAATTTCCAAGGGAATGGAGGATTTTAGGAATCTCTACTTCGAGAGGGTGAAGGAAGAAAAGGAAATTGAAAGTAATGCATGACGGATCTATAGCATGAAATAATGTTTTCTTTTTTTGAATGGAAATTTGAGCTCCTGTCCATTGAGATGAAGTTAACGTAATTAGCTTTAATGATTCTGTTTTTGTTTATAAAAGAGAGTTATTATTCATTCAAAATATTTCCCCGATTCTGATTGGCTAAAAGCACACATTTAATACACCATAACCAGTTACTGATGACCAAATTTGGAAGAATTTTGTGTTTAACGAGGAAATGATGTCAAAAATGCAGCGTTCGTGCAAGTTAAGGCATCGTTAACCGAGAAGACCTGGGGATGAGGTTGAGTTGTTCGGGTTTGTGTAAACAAAAATGGCGGTCGTTTCACTCATTTCAAGAGTAAGAACTAGGCGAAAAAATAGCTAAAGACATGGCAAGAACAGCAAGAAGACAACTCGAAGGGTGACATCTGCTATTTGGGGAATATTTGCGGAGCTAGACAAACCTAAACGTGCACAATGGAAGATGAACTTAACATCGATGGATCGATGGAGGTAAGCATGTTTTAGCCATGTTTTTAAACTAGGAATTATTTTGAATGAATAATAAAACAATTATTGAATTCAGCTTTGGTATCATATGAAGAATATTATTATGGAGATCTCGGAGGGTGTTATCCGCCTTGGCCTACGGCCTCGACAGATAACACCCTCCTCGATCTCCATAATTCTTCATAAGATACTCAGCCTCGTTCATTAATTGTTAATTTATAACCATATGAGAGTTCCACGTCCGCTTGGTACTCGGGCACATTCAGTTTTTTCCACCATTAATAAATAAATTTAATCTGTACTTAACCCTCATAACAAAACAGCAAAATCTCTCAAAAAACTTAGTAAGTTTTTGGTATTACTTCTTGTCAGAAAGGTGACATTATAAAGTTCCCTCATGTTTCATTTCCTGCGTTCACTCATTGTCAGCATTATCTTCATTGCTTACTTCACCAGTAACATTGAGTTTGCTTGAGCAGTCCATGTTTGGAAGAAGAAAAGGAAGAAGACTTAATTTTTAAAGGGTTTTTAATGAGGGGGAAATTCCTGGGTGGAGGGCTGGTGATAAAAGATCCCATTGGAGTGAAATTCTGGAGTGGTGCAGGGATGTAAACCAAAATGTCTTCTGTGGGGGAGGGGCGGGGGTGGAGTATGGATATTTTCTGGAACCATACAATTCAGACTAGGAACTTATAGGGTTTGTCTCTTGCTGGACATCAACTTCTGAAATTTTGTAATGACTATCTCTTAACTGTACCCATTTGATTTATGTAAACTATGTTTTACTGCTTTATAGAAAAAAAGCGGAGAGAAATTACCTTCTTCAAATCAAAGGTATTTGTCCCTCTGTATATCTACTTGAGGTGACTCGACCCAGTTTTTTTGGGGGGGTACCATCCTAGTTTGAAGCTCTCTGGTATCCCCACCTTTACTTTTATCGTAAGTCTAACACATAGAATGGATAACATATAGATCAATCTACAATGATTATAACATAAAATTTTTGGCAATCAGAGTAAATGTCACGTGGTTATAATGCCACGCCCTTTTGAGGTCTGAGTCGAAAATCTGCTTTTGCCGGCATTTTTTCGTGAAAATCTCTCGGCTACACATAGTTCGCATTAGTGCCTTGCGCTGAACAGAGTTTCACCAAAATCGCAAAGATCCAATTCGAGAAATTCAGCGGTTTCCAAATTTAGGTCATAATTTATGCGAAAATGATAAGCAAACTTTACACGGATTATATCTAATAAACTAGGAGATTCATCCCTTTATTTTGGGCATTGTTATAACAGATGGGTCCTTGCAGGTCAGCAAAACGCCTTAGGGCCTTGTAAATGCGCGCGATTTCGAGCAAAGCAAACATATAGAAATTATAGTTTTCGCTATTTGTTGACGTTTGTTAGCGTTTAAGAGTCCTTCTCACGAAAAAAGTATTTTCTTAAAAATTCGTAGGTTTTTTTCCTTCAAATTTTTTCAGGGCCACAATTGATTAACTAACTACCCGGACTCTGAATTTCATGGTCATTGAAAAACTGTGACATTATCGTCTATAAGCCCAAACTTGAGTAAACATTGAAGATTTTTAGCGTTTTGGCTGAGTTTGTGCTTTGGAAGTTGTCTATTGTTTCTAGTCAGTCATGATACAGCATTCTTGCTCAGCACGCGTGCAATGACCGCGCTTGGCTGACTTCCAAATGCTCACCGAGATATTCCCGTCACGAGTTGGTTTAATTATTGGCTTGCATTAAACCTATGAAAAAATGATATTTTTGTAATAGTAAGTAGATTTATGGCTGAGTTTGTGCTTTGGGAGTTGTCTATTGTTTCTAGTCTGTCATTATACAGCATTCTTGTTCAGCACGCGTGCAATGACCACGCTTGGCTGACTTCCAAATGCTCACCGAGTAGTACAAGAAAATAGAAGGGATTCCCGTCACGAGTTCGTTTAATTACTTGCATTAAACCTATGAAAAAATGATATTTTTTAAATAGTAAGTAGATTTAGTGTGTAGCACTTCTTGATTTTTTTGCAAAGGCACAAGAAGCACGAGAATCGATTAAAAAATGTGAGTTAAACCTCTATGTATCACGCGATGACCTGTCTCACTGTACCAAAATTATCATATCTCGGTGAGCATTCGGAAGTCAGCCAAGCGTGGTCATTGCACGCGTGCTGAACAAGAATGCTGTATAATGACAGACTAAAGCTTTTTGCTGACTTGCAAGGACCCATCTGTTATAACGATGCCCAAAATAAAGGGATAAGTCTCATACTTTATTAGATATAATCGTGTAAAGTTTACTTATCATTTTCGCATAAATTATGACCTAAATTTGGAAACCGCTGAATTTCTCGAATTGGGTCTTTGCGATTTTAGTGAAACTCTGTTCAGCGCAAGGCACTAATGCGCACTATGAGTAGCTGAGAGATTTTCACGAAAAAATGCCGGCAAAAGCAGATTTTCGACTCAGACCTCAAAGGGGCGTGGCATTATAACCTTGGACATTTACTCCGATCGCCAAAAATTTTATGTTATTTGTAGATTGATCTATATGTTATCCATTCTATGTGTTAGACTTACGATAAAAGCTAACGGTGGGGATACCAGAGAGCTTCAAAGTAGGATGGTACCCCCCTAAAAAAACTGGGTCGAGTCACCTTAACTGCCCTTGATCCTTTTTTAAGTTTTTAGACTACTGTAACTTACTTAATAGACCCATTATTACTGCAGAGATAATACTTATTATGTTAGAGGAAGGAGAATGCTTAATATCTAGTCCCCCAGGTAGCATTCTGGATTCTATATGATTTCACGGTTGTTGCCATCTTGGACTGGCTGGCACATTTTGCCTTCATCTCATGTGTTCAGTTTTTCTTGCCTGGGAACTGGTATCTATTTTTATAACACTCATTCACAGATGAAACATTGGTGAGTTTGTGAATATCTTGAGCATCGTAGTCAGTGTTTGACCTGCTATTACTTACATGTACTTTGCTTAGAGGTTTGGCAAACTGTAAAATGTAAAAAATACAGGACGTTCTTGCATTTTTAAGGAAAAATGAAATAGTAAATATGCATTGTAAAAAAAGTGGGAGGATCAACAATAACACTGAGAAAGATAGCTGCTGATATTCATATTGATAAAAGTGTTTGATTTTGATTTCTCAATCTTACAAGCCCATCAAGTTTTGCACCCCCCTATGACTACCTCTCACTACCCGCCTCCCCCGCCTCCCCCATCAAAACCACTCTCCTAATTTGCAATAAAAGTATTGTCAAACTAGATTATCTTGCTCTCTTTGTAGCTGGAGAAAAGTTTAGATGGTTTTATGAGAACGTAGAAGAGGAAAAGACACAATATTCTTGTTATGAAGTGTGTGAGCTTATTGAAAGGTGGGTATTTTGTTGTACATTTTTCTTGGACTATCAAAAAAAAACAATAATAGATGTCAATTATTTTTATTCAAAGGAAAAAATGAAAGACACCCTTGGGTAATAGTATTATGCTAATCAAGACTGGTGCCAATTTTTAAATTTATTGTAATTTGCCTTTTGTAAAAATTATGATTGGAAAAAAGAATAACAGTTAAATAGTTAAACTAGTGTGGTGGTATCAATAAAAGCTGACTAGCAATGGTGTAAAGATGTGAACTTAAACCGGTGCCTTTTTGGACTTAATTTGCACCTTTATGCATTAAATTAACATTGTTCCAAATGCTTGCCTTCTTTGGCTTACTGTAACACCTACAGCATCTCGACCAGGCCATCAGAATGGGCTGTGGAGGGCTGGTTTACCTCCTATAAACAGATTTTGGTTTTTATAGAGTAATATTTAAAATCTCTTGCACTTTCTTACTTGCTTGTATCACTGAGATGAGATCTGAATTGGCAAACACTGAATGCTGCAATCTTTCTAGAGTGTAAATAATGACCTGTTTGCTCTGAGACACTGTTTGTAACTTGCAAGTCATTTTCTGGGTTACTTAACATTTACATGGTAAAAGTGTTTCTGTTTTTTCAGATATTTGCACAGATTTGACCAAGAACTTGAGCAAATTAATGAACAGAACAGTATGAAGGGAAGACAAGGCAGGGTTCATGCATCAAGGGAAGATGCACTAAAAAATATTATTGAACGTGAAAGAGAACTTTATAATGCTAATGGAATTGGTGAGCATGTGCAACTTTTTAAAATTTATTAGTTGTTTTAATTTTTCATTAACTATTTAATGACATGTATTGAAATCCAAATTCTCCTCCCTTGACTTTACTGTATGCTTGTTATGGAGGGTGAAATCAGGAACAAAGGAAGTACACCGATAATGTAAAAAATCAACTGAAGAAATTTATCTTGAGTGATCCCGCCTTTGATTTGACTAACCTCTGTAATTGACTCTTAGCCCAAAAGATTGTTTATATTAATTACTTTTTCGCACCAAATTTAGTTTTTGGAGGGCTTATTAAGACGGAGATTTTTGGAATGCATGGAAGATTTAGAAGAAGTTAAGTTAATTAACTATCCTTATGTAAAGTTAAGCATATGTATCAGAAACGTTACATTGAAAAATCATTCGACGCTTCCAGTCTCAATGAATTAGCAAATGAACGCAGCACATTGGAAGCAAAAAAGAAAGTTTTGAACGCAAAGGTTGACTTAAAAATGTTTTTTTTGTCTGCAGAACTTCCAGATCTCACATCTTCTAAAACACTATCTCAGTTTAGGTAAGCCTATGGAGTTTATGTGACGTTAGTTTGAGTTTTATGCGAGGAACATTCGGTTTTGGCCGTATGTGAAGCTAGATGAGACACAAACTTTAGATCTTGGATTCCAGAAAGTGCATGCTTTTGAATCACGTCAAAACACTTCCGCTTCTCAGAGGCTTTCGCTTCTCATTAGCTTTCAAAACTGCACAGTAAAAGTACAATGATTTTGTCGTTAGTTATCCCAGCCCTTCAGAAGTTTTTGTGTTTTGTTGAACGATGTTTTTAGTGGGTAGTAGTGGTGTTAAAATTTTGTTTGTTCGTTTGTTTAGCTTGGTTTTCGTAGTAGTTGAAAAAGTTTTTTGCTTTTGTTGGTTTACTTGCCCTTAAACAGTCATTTCCTCTGAAAACAATATTGCCCACCTAAAAAAAAAGACTTATACGACTTGTGAAGCTGAATCTGTCGATTTCAGTACAGTGGAACCTGACGGAACCACTGTAATTAGTTTCTGTATTACTTAATCAGGCCATGTTATTTATGTCTCAGTAGTCCAAAATCATTAGTAGACCTTTCATTGGAACCAAATACCAAAGAAATAAAACAGGACATTAGCATCGTCAATCTAAACGTCTCTAACTTAGTTTGAACTTACACAAAGCGGTCATTCAGATTCTGCAGACCGGTTCCGCGGAAACACTGAAAAGTTGATCATTTATACATTAGAATACTTAATCACAAACAGTACCCTGCATAACTCATTTCAGTGTTGCCAATATCGTCAGAAATTAACTTTATCTTTTCCCGTCTATTGTAACAATGTGACCATCGACATGCTGTCATATGAAGATTTTTCGATAAACGTCAGAAAAAGCAAACCTTAGTACTGCACACAGTTGGCAAGGAAGTGTCCGTATTAACAAGGTTAACTTTCCATAAGAATCTCTTGATTGGCCGATTAGAGAAAAGTGTCCTTTTTTGGCATTAACCGGTGTCCGTATTAAACGGGTTGAATTTAAAGAAAACCTTTCGTTATAATGAGGTGTCCGTATTATGCATCAGTCAATTCCACCTGCTCCCAGCCCCTCCCCCCCCGCCCCCCGCCCGTGAGACCCGGTGAACCATTCTCCCTGCTTGGATCACAGTGTGTTGGACCTTTGCATAAGGAACGGACCCTCAGGTGGGGCGGCGTGGAATGGCGGCACTTACCCTGTCTTTTTGTTCTTCGCATGTGTTTGTTTTAATTAGATAAACTACTAAATTGAACNAATTGTAGAGGGTTGTAAAGGCATGTTCTCGATTTTACATGTATGTATGCATTTCTTCATTGCTTATCAAGCCAGAATTACGTAGCGAATTTGGAGCTATCGATGTGAATCAAAGTTTTTTGGTTATTGAATCAAATTTCTGTTGATATTATTTGAAGAACATCTTTTCATATTTATAAAACTATTCACAACATATAACTTTACAGCGCTCTATTAATTTTAATGTCAATAATTTTATACTAATACTAAAACCATAAACTGGTGCATGTCGTGGCGGCGTGAAGTCTTAATTAGAATCCTTGCGCTATTACAAAGGAAGACGTTAATTAAACCAAAAAAATCGCACATTAAAATGCTTAAAACGGCACTATTTGACTGTGCGATCAATGAAAAATGTTGCAGTGTTGACGGAGGACGGAGCATTTGCCCTCTTTTTTCGTCCCCACCCCGGGGAATTTGACAGCTCAAGATTCCCCACCCCTGGGAATTTGCCATCCAAGGCAAAAAAAATGCTAATGCCCGGGGGTCAGCCCGGGGGGGGCCTGGGCGCAGGTGGAATTGACTGATGCATTAAGGAGGTGTTCGTGAGCGGGATTCCTTATTGAACTGTTCAGCCCACCCACAGCTCTACAACGAAGATTTTAACCAGTTTTATTTTGCTTTCAGAGACTGGGATTGCGATGTAGCCAGCCTCAAGCTGATGAAAATGCGAAAATTTAACTCATCTCTATTAAACAAAAAACAGGACACAAAGAGTATGAACATTGGCAACGACGATACGGATGAAAAAGAGATTATTAGTGAAAGAAAATAAAATGGCGTCGTTAACACTTATCGCAACTCATGCTCACATTGATACATTTTTTAACTGAAAAACAATTTCGTACGTTTTCAAGCAAATACCCCCGTAAAATACTTTTGTGGGACTGGAGGTACAAACCACGCTTTTGAATCCAGTAAAAATATATTTTTGTCTCTTTCCTACGGCCTTACAATTGTAACATCTCTCATATCTTTCCATTTCTTTCCGCACTTGTCTCTTTGAATTGGTCGCCGGGATCACTTTTAGTGCAATCAGGATCTTCTCACCGAAAACATCAGTGTATGATCCTTAAATGAAATCTCTTTAGTAGTTCTTTTTAGATAGTATGTAGTTTAAACGTTTGAGGCGGTTGCAGTAGTTCAAATTTAAGCACTTGAAAGTAAGGATTTTTATTGAATTTTGATTAGAAACACAGGAGGGTGTAATGCGTCATTTGACACTGGAAAAATTATCTTGTTCAGCACAGCTATATTATTTTCGCCGAACTATTCACCCAGTGGTAAATATTTACCCCCATATATTTTCTCCAGGGAGTGGTTTTGGGGGCAAGGAAGCTCTTGGTAAGATTTCCTCATTGTCACCGTTGAAAGGTACCCGAATTTGGGCGAATAAGTACAGCCCTAAGATCTACGAGACGTTGACAATCTTTTTTGATGGAACCCTGGATGGAACATGTAGAGGGCAAACCACGAAACTCAGTTCCAGAAAAATACCGTAATTTTTTTAAAAAAAGGGTTATTCGGCTTTATCCTACCAGCCTTTTAGTCTCTTATATCAACATATCTCCAGTATTCAATCTTCTGTAAGCGGTTTTATAACCCCAGAGCTTATTGTTGACCGGCAACGTCTCTTTGATAGAATCACCGCATTGATCTTAGCAGCTGATGGGGTAAACCTGGGTAGTACCTCACCTGACATGTCACTCCTTGAATCCGGTTCCGACAAAACAACTATACTTAATTTAGAGCTTTCAACATGAGCAATACTTAACTCCTCGGTCACTTTACAGCTGCTGCTTTTATCTAAAATAAATTGTACGTGTGTCGCTAAACAACAAATCAAAGTAGCGTCCTTCTTCAAACCCTTCTTCCTCGTCGCTACATTTCTATAAAAATCTTTTTTAATACACACAATTTGCAGTTGACTTCCGGCTCAAAACACGTTTAAAGGCTTCCCGAAATTTTCCCTTTCCAAATTGATAATCAACTCATCTAGGAAACTGCAAACTGTTTCCGCTATATTTCAAACTGGTCGGTTAGTATTTCCTTTAGCGGGCCTCACGAAACATTCGCACGATGCATTTTCCGGATAGAACATGATTTTATTATTGGAAACTTGCGGGTACTTTGAGCCTAGAGAGTTCATCTCAGTTCCCTCTGTTACTTACATTGAAAAGCGGCGGCGGATAAAAGGAATTTCTCGTATCTTGCTAATGGTTTTTTGTACCATGTACACATCTGTTGGTGCCCGCATCGGGGAAATAAATGTTTGATGATTTGCATGGCGCTAGCTACCAAAACCAAGTCAGAGAGACAATAGATTTTTACATGTGGTGCAGGTTCCTTTTTTATGGGACACAAAAATATTAGAAAGCAGGATCCGGTGCGACATTATAGAGGGACTTTTTCCGTTTGGCGTTCAACTCCGGTGTCGTGTGGCCAGAACGAAAGGTATGTTTATTTTATATTTTCTTTACAATTTTTGGTATTCTTCCTTTTACTAAAGGAATATTTTACCCGGAGATCAACCAACGGGAAAGATGTTGAAACTCAATTCATTTTTTAGAAATATCCATATGATCGACTTTAACTGGTAGCACTAACTTGTTTACTACGCCATAGTTTACATTTCAACAGTAAGACGCACAGATTTCATAGTCACGAGTTCAAGTTATTGTTAGGCAAAAAAAAAAAAATTAGAATATATCGGAAAGTGAGAGTGAACGATCAAATCAACAACCCGTAAAAATGGCCCTTGCATCAAACCCGCACGCTAGGGAGCTGAGATAATGAAGACAACGCACGGAGGTGTGTCTCATAAAAAATAACCTTAATTCTTCCTCATCAGATAAAATGTTTGCTACTTAACTTTCTGACCAACTATCCATGGTTAAATCAAGCTATTGTAGGGGGTTGTCCGAGCGACTCGCCCCCTAAGCGTAGGTGCCCTCAGTCTAGATCAACTGATTTTCTTGGCTCTATATATTGTTGACTTCACAACCCATATTTTTATTCCCTTAGTTTAAGTGGACCTTTCGAATAATAGACTATTCGTGTCACGTCCTTTTTACCCGGTAACGCTTCCGTGTCCTCCACATTATACCGCTCATGCGTAAACTAGTCTAAACTGGTGAACTGGCTCGGAGGCGCCAACAACGTCAAATCAGAAGCTTCATAAAAGGGACCACGGTTAAATCTCATCAATGAACACCTCTATAAAACGGTTTCCTGGAGTTGGTTTAGTGCGTTTTTATTATTTTTTTCTTAGCCTCTCATTGCAAGGCAGACGTCGCTTAACTGAGCCAACCCACGGCCAAACGGCCGGCCAAACATCATCCTTCCTAGAGTATTAAACTTAGCCGTAGGGATCGATGCTGCGTGCGGGTGTGTTCGAGCAACTCGCGAATCGCTCGCTACAAGATGACGTACCAGGAATCTGATTTACATCTTGCTCTTTATTCTTCTTTGACTTCTGCTAACAAACTTAATCTTAATTAATCTTCTAACTCTTCTTCTCTACTGACTCAATCCTAACTCACTAGTTCAAGTATAGTAGCGATTGTTACAGCCAAAGGTAGACATGTTTGGGTTAACTGACCGTGGGAGGATAAAATCAAACAGGGGCACCCAACGAGAATATAGTTCAAAACCACTTAAACATAGCATTGTTAAACGTGTTTTAGTATTTAAACGGTGGATATGGGCATATTTTTATCCCCTATAAATTTTTCATCTGTTCTGATTTCCTAGCTGAAAGTCTAGTGATCCAAAAATTATAGGGATCAAAACATACCTGTTCGAAAATTTCAGCCAGAAAAATGGCTCCCGAAAATTCTAGGTGACCATGTTAGGGTAAAAATCCGTTGAAAATGGGCAATGTTACCATTTTTTAGATGTTCGAAAATCCTAGGAGAGGCAGGCAAGCAAGAAATTTTACAACAAATGTTCCGAAAATTCTAGTTCTCAAATCGTCTTTCGAACAGATATTTTTCCGAAAATTGTCGTTTGGTGCCCCTGATCAAAGCCGTTGAACTTGGTGTGGGTAATGTTTTGGTATTACTGAACCTACATGGTTGCGATCGGCAAGAAGTACAAACCAATGAAAATCTAAAACGCTGGTTAACAAACCCAAACAGGAACTTCAACGAGACTAATGAATCCGAAGGTCTGCTCTGACATGGCAAACACGACCACCTTCTGAAAAACTCACATCTGACAATGGAGTCAATGGCAAGCGAACAATATTTTTGAAATCAGGAAAAGACCTACGCGGACAAAACCCAAACTAACCTTGACCCACTTAATGAAACAAAGACGAAACTCAAAAGAAAATACAAATCTTAAAAATAACTTTCAAAATACTTCAAAACAATCACCGCGAAACTCGATTTGTAAACTAAGCGTAGGAGCCAAGCAAAAATTATCAACGCTTCTAAAACGTTTTGTGGAACCTCGATATAACGAACCTTTATATAACGAAGTCTAAAGAACGATTTTCTTTACCCCGCTATTATAGTAGCCTCCCCGCAGACGTCCTTAGGGGTTCGTTCGTTGGTAAAAAATATGGAAAAGGACCTCGATATAACGAAACCTCGCTATACCGAACACATTTTGCCTGTCCCTTGGCCCTTTGATATATCGAGGTTCCACTGTAGATTTCGGGTAACTTTGTAACGTTTTCTTTCAATCTCTGTTGGTATATCTAAATTTTAAATAGAAATATTTGTGAAAAACAGTAGATGTTTATTTTTGCTACCCACTGTGAAGAATCAAGCTCTCATGCAAAAGATGCAAAAGAGCTGAGTAATTATACTTTCTCGTCGAAGAGGAGGGCGGAGTGGGGTTAATTCATGAAGGTACACAGGGCTTTTGTCTTGGTCAACTTAATTGCCAAGTGTATACGTACAAACCTAATTCAAGTTTCACAAAAGCTTATGAGATAACCTGCGATGAGGCGATCCTTTTTTTATCTGACAAGATAACACAAATGTTGACAGATAACTTAATTAGGGACGGCAGTAGATGTATCATGCGTTATTTTTTCCCTTTTCTTTGTCCGCCGACTTTCGCGCTATCCCCGAGAAAAGAACGCCCGATCGCAGGTTACTTATGAGGGTATACCAGGGCGGGCGGGCGGGCTAACTAACCTTGAATAACCTGACTTTATAAAGCGCGAATTAAAAAGAAGCCTCAGTGACTGAAACATGAGAGACGCAAACCCATAAACAAGCAGATCATTCGCTACAAGTATCTGTGTTTTTCTTTAAAACCCAGACGCATAACAAAAATATGATAACCATACCAAGTCTACAATAAATTACCTGTATCAACCCACCGTTCCAGTAATAACATAATTGCTAAGTGGTTATCTCACTCTGCGTATCACTTTATACACGTAAATCTAATAATCATCTTCCTTGAAAAATTAATTGTTTGCCTATAAATTCGTTGTGGACCTGAAAGCGCTAACTTCTGCTCATAAGTTACGGTAAAGTCACGATTGAAGTTTAAACAATACGAAAAAAGACCTGTTAAATTGACTAAGCAAAGACGAGCCAGGCCAGTGAATATCAACCCGAGTTGGAAAAAAGGTAAA